TTTGTTGAGCAGCTGTTTTGCAGTGGCTCGTGTTGACGATCAATGGACTGGTCGCGGTGCAAGGCGTTGCGTATACAGCAGTCGTTCTGTACGTGCTACTCCTTGGAGCTGTTGCAACTTTGGCCATGTACTGGCACAAGAGGATCACGGGTCTCTTGTGGGATCCGCGGTCTATCGCCGACGTTGCGCACATGATGTACAAGTCGAACACTCTTGACGACTATGAGAGAACCGAGATGATCAGGGACAGGAAGGCGATGCAATCCATTCTTTGCAACCGCCGCGTCGACCGGCTGGGCTATTGGCAGATGGAAGGCCCCGACGTGACGCCGTGGTACGGTATCGGAATCGACAATCATATCTCTGGCAGGAGAGGACGGAACGACGTGGAGGACATGCCACAAGACGATATTCGCCAACGCGAGTCTATGAACTCACTGACAATGTCCCTGGTTTCGGGGGTGGACGACAAGATTCGGAAACAATACCTACCCTGGTTCCTGCGAGACGGACAGATGATTGGCTTTGCTGTGATCAGCACGCTCCTTCTGGTGGCCCTGATCGTTGTCTCCTTCACGCAGGGAGCTAGCTGGATGCGAGGCTTCCGCCCCGGTCACTTGTCTGTCTATCCCGCAGAGGGCAATTTTTCAGCGGCCAACTTCCTCTTCAGCTTCATTCCGAGTCTGCTTGGCGTGCTCCTGTACTTGTTCCTCCAGTCTCTGGACATGTCACTCCGCACTACGCAACCGTGGGCAGAGCTGAATAGCGCCTTGGGTTCGCCAGCCGGTCGATCCGTGCTCTTGGATTACGCCGCTTGCCACCCGTTTCAGGCCACCCTCCATGCTGCGAGGAACAAACATTGCGCGTTGCCGCCGTCTCACTGATGAGCACGTTGGCTGTCTTCATTCCGATCCTTGCCGGCGGCCTGTTCATGGCCCGAAACATTGAGGGAATCAACGACACCCGCATGCGGCCCAACAGGGCCGTGTTTTTCATCGGCTGGGGGCTGCTCATCCTGTACTGGTTTTGCACTCATGGCGCTGGTGCCCTGTCGCTTCTCGCACCGCCTGCCTCATTCCGTTACCTGCGTTGCGGATATTGTCTCTTTCCTCTGCACCGAAGATGTGCGGGAAGAGAAAGGCTTCCAGTTTCCCGAAACCAAAGACAGAGAGACCATGCTCACCAAGCTGGGGCTTGGTAAGCGTTGGGAAGAGAGCCGGTGGTACTTTGGCAACGTGCCCGGCAAAGACGAGAAGCTGGGCGTGCGCCGGCTCAAGAAGTATACGGAGCGCAAGGCCAGAAGGCATTGAGCCTTTGAAGGCCGTGGGCCTTGTCCGACACGTAATTGTGGTGTTGTGTGTCATTATACACTGGCGAGGGATCACTCCCTGAGGTTGGTACAGTGGTGTTTTGTTTCTGGCGTTTTCGGCATGGAGAAACTGCATGGGTAGGCGTTTTGATTTTGCGCTTGATTTTGAGAGTTCTTTGCTTTTGCACTGTTCGCGTAACGGGAAAAAAATAGAGGGTTATGGTATGGGGTCATGTTTGTACGGCACGGGGCACGATGTTCATGGCGTTTCACGAGACATTTGGCACGAGATCCAAGACTGTATTGAAGGAAGAGGGGCTACCAGGCCGGGCTGAGAGTGAGCAGGACTGAGATGGATGAGATTGCCGCCTCGGAGAGCTTCCAGGCTGAGCAATGAGATGTACGGCTTATGTATACGTATGAAGATGATGGGAATATGAAATGTTTCTGCGCCTTTTTAGATCTTGAGTTGGTACAATGCCTCGCCTCCTCTCCCCGCAAAACCCCGTCCACCATGTGTCGTATGATGTGGTCACACCAGAACTCCATGGCGAACTGTGAATAAGATCAAGTTATGTGACAGGGCCAATCAAACACGTGTCACGGACGCGAGGCGCTCATCTTTCTTGAATATTTGATTACTCTCGTGCGTGAGGCACCATCGCCGCGAGGCAAAGCAACGTATCTCAGAGCTACATCGAATCAACAAGCCATTACTCGTTCTGCGAACCAGGCACTCTCTGCTGACGACGACGACGACACTGACAACAACAACAGCAACAAGAAGAGGAAGAATAAGAGGAAGACAACATAGGAGACATAAATGACAGTATTGGCGGCTCGAAACGTTCATTGTGGTGGCCGATTACTTTCTCCTCCCCCCCCCCCCTTCCAGCTTCCCTCTCTCTTTCCCACTTACACGAGGCGAGCGGTCAACCCCTCGCGCCCCTCCTCCTCTTCTCTTTCTCGCCTTTACCATTTTGACACTTCCGATGGCGCCGTGAAAAGAACGGAACACATGACCCCCAAACCATTCCCTTACCAATTGACTATTCGCCCAGACCTTGATCTTTTTCCCGTCTAACGGAGGCTTCGTTTCGTAGAGGCATAACTGATGATAGAGTATCTCGATGAACAACGTGGTCGTGGTTTACATGACTTTGATGACATGATGCAGAGTAATAAACAGAACAAAGAAAACACAGGACAAAGAGAAGAGACTGAAACCCAAGGCTTTGGTACGACATGAGAGAAGAAGAAACGGGAAACGACGCGGACGACGGAGTACATGTCGCCCTTATGAACTGTGGCCCCGGGAGCCCCGGCCAAACATGCGGCCAAAAACGTCGCGGGCACGATGCTCCTCGGTGTCGTCGGCGGCACGCCAGGCCACTAGAGACTCGCCGCCAAAACGGGGCGCGTCGCCGCTACGGCGCGGGCTGGCGGGCTTAAAAGTAGCAGCGCGGCGAGACTTGACGAGGCGTGCAATGGGAGGGCTATCATCTGACTCTGAGTCTGAGGAGTCAAAATCGAAGAACGAGGCTGATGGGGCGGCGGATGACGGTTCGTAGGGTGTCCGGCGGCAGGGAGGCAGAGGTGCGGAGCGAGGATGGACGAGATCGGCGAGGTTGGTGGAGGGGAAGTTAGGCAGCGTGGACTTGACTGTCGTTGGATCCGAGACGAGAGAACCGCCCATAGTGCGGGCGGAGGAGGTTGATGTGCGGGGAAGCATGGCGAACGAGGACGATGTGCGAAGGGCTGGAGATAGAGTACCGATTAGGGTGGCGCCGGATAGTAGGCGGATAGGCGCCGAGTGCGTGTGGATGGGTGATGGCCGCGAGGTCTTGCGAGGCTTAGGCGTGGGGGATTCAGCAGCAGGTAGGGAGGAGGTGCGCGGTGGTGGGACAACAAAAGAGGATGTCGCTGTCGTTGTTGCTGACGATGATTTGGTTGTTGTGGTGGTGGTGGTCGTCGTCGTGGAGGTGTATGAGGCCTGATGAGGTCTGGGGAAGAGGCTGTAGGATGATTTAACAGCCCTGATGGTTGTGCGCTTCTCGGCGACGGACGTCACGTTGCGACCCTTCGAGAGGCTGGGAGGCTGCTGCGCCGGCAACGTGGGCTGCTGCACGATGGTGGTGTATTCAATGGGCTTAGGCGGCAGAGGGTCGTCATCGTAGTTGATAGTGCTTGCCTTCTTGGTGCGACGAATATGTGGCGACGGGATGAGGGCGGGATACCGGGCCTTTGGTACACCGTGACCTTTCCGCGGTGTCTTTGGTGGCTGGTCATGTTCGTGGTGGTGAGGATCTTCAAAGTCATGGGGTTGATCCCCAGCCACCCAAAAGCTGTCCCACAGCTGAGATGTCGAGGCGTGGTACTGATAGTCATCATCGGGTGACACTTCAGAGTCAGAGTGGTCATCAATCAGGCTGGGCGTTGAACAGTTGGAGACCACGGACGACCTGCTCTGGTGACGGGAGAACGACCTGGAGGTCATCGTCGTTGACGGCCTAGCCTCCATCGCATCCATGCCTTCGTCCGTCTGTTCCGTGAAACTGTGCCCTGCCCTCCGGTACGGGTTGGGCTGCTGGCTTCCTTCCGCGCGCGGCAGCGAATAGTTCGAATAGTCAAAGTACTTTGACACGAGCTGGAGGTGTGCCAACTTGGTCTGCCGATCGATACTCTTCCTTTTCGTCCTGGTCTTCGATGGCGCTGCGGGTGCGGGTGCGTTCATCGTGAGAGTGAGAGTGAGATCGGTATGGGCAGGTGTGATGCCTGATTCCAGATGAGCAGACATGACGAAAGTGGGATCACAACCGCCGGGGCCTGCTCTACTTCAGGTGCGGATATGATGTCGATTTGCGTTACAAAGGTGTGTGTGTGAGCTCATCAGCAGTCTCAGGCGAGGGGGGGATGTGCGTGTCTGATCCAGGGATGGGATGCTCGCTATATGTCCAAAAGCAAGAGGTGTGGGCGATCATCCTCCATCAGTCTCCCTGATCCCTGGCCTAAACAAACATTGACCCGCTCAGCAACGGAGCCGATTGTGAGCAGACATGGCATGCCCTTCCCTGGGGGGGAAGTGTAAGGGCCGTCAACATCAGGAGAGACAGGTATGCATCGTCGTGTCTCGGTGCCGTTACGTTGGGTCTGGTACCCACACAAGCCCGCATGTCCACCTCCCAGCTGGTGGCTGAACCCACAGGCGCGGAGGATCGCCGTGGGTACCGTCTTCCCTAAACTCAGGATGGCCACAGCTTCGAGACATTCCTTGCCTTCTGCGCTAGCCCCGATCCTCGCCCTGGGAGCAGGGTGAACAGCCAGTCGGAGGCCAGCCCTGAACAAGGGAGAGCAGCGTTTGGAAAGGTCTGCGGGGATCCATGACTGCACTGGCTGGCAAGCAGGACAGTCACCAGGAGGGCAGTGGGGAGTGGCCTGTAGGCAAAGCATCACCAGGTAAGGTGAGCTGAGATGGAAGTGCTGGAATGTTGAACGTGACCGGCCATGGAAAGTCTCCCTCAGAGGCACGTCCAGCAAAACCTCTGGCAACGGGGTTTGCTCTGGGATGGGCGCCGGGGGTTTTCTTCCCCTGGCCACCCAAGACCTGTCAGATCAGACCGTCGGATCAACGATCCTGTGCCGCTCTGCAGGAGTCGTCCCGATTGACAAGCTCTATGAGACATGGATGAAAAGATGAGCACAGGCACAACCAAGGAACGAATCATGGTTCAGCAGGAGGGGCAAGAAAAAGGCGACGAAGAAGAAAAGCAACACCAATACGGCGCCGAGAGGGGGCAACAATAGCTGCCCGCAGGAGAAACAGCAGGGCAGATCCCAAGGCACCGAGTCTGTCCCAATCGCGGGACGACTGCACTTGCATCCGCCGTGGTTCGTTCCGAGGACCCTGTTCCTGCGTGTCCGAGGTGGGCACATACTGCCAAACTAATGCCAGGGGTGCAGTATGCAGCCTCTACCGCAGCAGGGAGGTTGCAAAATAGGAGCACTAAAATAAAAGGATGAGAAAAATGTGCTTGGCCCAGCGGTGTCTCACTTCCATGGTCAGTGTCGACGTACTCGAGAGGTTTCCAGGGCCTCTCTGGGGCTCACAACGCCACAGCATGCCCGCCGTTGCACCTTACTCCTGTCGACCATGGTTACACAGGAAACGTTGACCATCGTTGAGTCAGGACGAGAATGGACGATGCCACGCTAACTCGCCCCCTCCAATGCTACAAAGCTCGCCAGTCCAGGGTTCCAGGTCACGAGCAGCAGCTGCATCGCCAGCGCCGTGGCGCTACCGAGGACCCTTGGCTCCAGCTCGGCTTGGATTTTTGCGCATCCAGACCGTTCCCAAGCGCCAGACGCTTACTTCCGCCATGTTGAGACGAAGCAGTGTTGAGAACTGACAGCGTAGATGAGAATCAGCCTGGACAGGAGAGGAACGAGGATGGGGGGGGGGGCGGCTCTGAGCCGTTGCTGAGGTGGCCTGAGGTTGAGAGCGCGAGCCTCTGCCCCCAGCTCCCTGTCTCGCCGGTGTGCCTCCGAGTGCAACCGAGACAGGCAGGCCAACCTCTGCACCGTCTTGTCTGCCCACTTGGACGGACGAGCACGTTCACTCTACGGGGACCTGTTCGGCGTGGGACCAACGGTGGGGAAGAAAGGTAGAGAGCGAGAACGGGCTCGTGGTCCGCGGTCGGTGGCCTGTGGGTTGTGGGTTGTGGGTTGTGGGTTGTGGTCGGTGGCCTGTGGTCCCCGCGAGGAACGATGATGGAGGTGGCTTTCCATGCCCGCGCGCCACCCGTACCTGTCAGGGCCTTTTTGGCTTCCGATGGTCGATGACGACGGTGCATGCCTTGGCTCACCGCGCTGGCATGAGATTATCGACCGGTCTTTTCCCAGAGCAAGCCTGCTGGTGGTTGTGTGTGTGATGGTGCGCGATGGCGGCGATGATGGTGGATGGGTTGGCTGATGATCGTCAGGAACCGAGATGTTCTGCAGTGC